AAACAAGCGCTTGATTTAACGTCGCGGCACGACGTGAATCACTTTCTGCCTCCACTTTGAACTTATGAATCGGACCCCAAGTTTTGATTCTGCTCTATGATCATGCTCCTGGGGTGGTGAAACGAATCTGACTGGCCCAATAAAATAATGTAGTATTCTGCACTTCTTGGCCTTTATATGAGGTGTGTAATCCCGACTTTCTGGCAAGAAGAATTCCAGAATGTAAGCACTTTGTTCCTCATTCCTTGACTCCTCAAATGGCTCGGACGACTCTATTCCCATATCATCATCTAAACACAATGTGGAAAAATGCTTGGAGTGAGGACCCATGCGCTCAACTACATGAACATTGGGACTATCTACATTCTCAACACTAATGACAATAGAGTCAACTACATATGTATCCTCAATATCCTTGGTTGACTCTAGTATCTCTTCTACAACATCGACATCCTCAAAATCTAGTGCGATTGATTGTTGGTGTTCTACTCTAGCCTCCTCCTCTAGCTCATCAGTTTCTGTATCTAATTCACGCTCTTCTTGGATACTATTCACAATATTGGCTTGTTGAGCATTAAAAACTTCAACCAGTTGACTCATGTGAACTTTCAAGTTGTGAATAGTTTCCTCCTGCCTTTCTATCCGCAGTAGTAATTTACTCTGTTGTTCCAAAATGCACTTGTTGTTCCAAAATGCACTTTAACATATCTTCGAGCTTCTTTAGGTCAGCTTCTTTAGGTCAGCTTCCCTAGGTTCTTTGTTCCTATTAACTTCACCTGAAAAACGAGAACCATCAAAGTAACGGGGTTGGGGGAAAGTAAGAATATAAGCACAACCTTGAAAGTGACCTAGTCTTGACCACCACACATATCACACACATTCCACACATAAGATTGAGTTGGTGCACAAAACTCGCTCTCAGGAATATTTTGATAATTTTGCCCTGGGTGGTTTCCTTCACGATATGCATAAGGAGGATCAAAAGTAGAATTACCAACAACAAAATTCTCATAATTTCATGATGCCATGTTTCTCAAATAAACAAATAAAACTATTAAAAAAATCAAATAATAAAATAAAAGTTCAAACTTGAAACCTAGCAATATGTACACCTACAACTACACCGTTAGTTCCCCGGCAACGGCGCCAAAATTTGATCACGCCCAACTATGCCTTATAAAAAGGACAATGCGGTCGTTGCAAATATAATCCGGTTTACAAGTCTGGAGTCGAATCTCACAGAGAACTAAGGTTTAGCTACAGCTGTTCACTATCACCAAGAAGACAAGCTTGAACAATTCCTAACTTATAAATATTAAGATTCTTGTGTTTAACTAATTAACTAACAAATTAAAATAGTAAATTAACAACTAACGATACTGAGGGTTAGAGAAAAGATTAAGGAGGTCTAGAGTTATGTTTTCCCAATTTTCGGAATCCTTCCCGCTATGTCTTCTATAATTTCGCCTAAGTATTCTCTACCGATCATGAGCACTCTTATTACCGTAAATCTCTCCCGAGTAATTACGACAATTTACTAGACGCACTCTCCCGAGCTACGCTAGCTGGCTTTTAATACAGCTCACTCCAGATCGCACCCAAGGCTTCGTTATCCCTAATCCCGCCTTTAAACCCTCGGTTATTGATCCCTCATATACTCTGGGAGTGGTGTTGTTCAACAATTACCTAAATATGCACTCTCTCCCGAGTTATGCATACTAAATAGGCACAGCTAATTGAGAGCTCTTCAATCAACCAGAATATAAACGTAGTTGAACAAATAGAGAAAAGCTATGGCTCAATTATATAAAAACATAACAAGAATTTATCCTACAAAAGGTTCTATCAAAACTCTAGATAACAAATTAGCTAGTCATAATAGTATGTAAAACTACAATACTAAAAGTCATAACCAACAATGAAAAATAGGAAGAGGAAGGAAAAACTCGTAGAAGAATTCTCCGCCTTGCTCCCAATGTGTTCTTGCCTCCTTAGGTCGAATCTATGTCCAAAATATGTCCCCTTTTCTTCAAAATAGGTTTAGGACCCCTTTTATACAAGTTGGAATAGTGTAGGGCCGAAATAAACTTGTCCCGATAGGACTTCTTTTTGACGCCTGGAGCGGCGCGACCGCGGCCAAAACGCGGTAGAACCGCGGCAAAACAAGTTCTCTGATTTTCTGCCGCGGTCAGTTCCGTGGTCGCGGTTTCGACTGCGTTTTTCACCCTGTTCCGTTTGGAATTTGGAAAAACGTAAAACATGAAAGTTGTATCCCTTTGAATTAGCTTTCCAACCATATATTGTGGAGCCCAAATGGAGTTCAGAGAAAAAAGTTATGTCTATTTTACTAGACAGTACGCAATATGCCTCCTCAAGTCTTCGTTCGTACTTAATTATCAAATTTGACCCCCGAACACGATCCCGGCTTAATTCCTTGAGCTTTTACTCAGACTTCAAAGCTTCAAATCATTTAAATTCATTCCATAACATCTATATAGCTCGGAATCACACCTACAAGGCATAAAACACACAATTAGTGCAAAACACTAGCGATTAAAGCGTAAACTCAATTAAAGTGCAGTAAATTCGAGTGTAATAAGCGACTAAAATATGCAATTATAGCCTATCATCACTAGCTATTTTTGAATGACCGGTCCGAAAACTGGCTAGCCCGTGCTATTTTTATGGAGAGCGGAGGACAAAAAGCTTCTTAAGAAAGCAATTTCATATTCAGAGTTCGAATTCCGAATCTCTTATTAAAAATAAAGCATTACTTACTATTCTACCATAACCATCATTGGTTAGAAAGAAAAAGTATCCCCTTGCTTTATATAGCTGCAGGTCAAATATATAATTGATTATTTCGTACAGTTATTTATATATTGGTATCTTTATTCATTTATCCAAGAACTAATGCCTCGTACAGGTCCTTTGCTTGTAGGGCACAAGGTATTAATAAGATACTGGTAAATTGGTGCCTTTGCTCGACGCACAAGAATGAATATTTGTGAAAAACAAAATACAATCATTATTTACTAATTATTCCTTAAAAGATCATCAAAGGTATTTCAACCTAATTAAATATAGAAAAATCTAAATCCTCAGCGTACACAACGAACTAATTAAGTGTAATAATACACAAAAACCTCTTGTACATTCGTTCAAGAGGTTAATACAGTAGCAGAAGTAGGATTTTCATCAAAGGCGTTCAAAAAATAAAATAAAAAAGTTAAAAAATGAAAAAGTCAAAAAAATTTACCGACATCTTGAGTAATATATGGATTTGCCCTCCACCTTTCATAAATTCTCCAAACTCCTAAAATTGATGTAAGCAAACGAGAAGATTATAGATTATAAATAATTGGGAGAAATTCAAAAATAGCCATATTTACAAGTGGTCGTTCAAAGATAGCCCAGTTTTAAAAGTAATCGAATTTAGCCACTTTTCATGTAAAGATAAATCTGAGCGAAAACACTGTTCAAAACCCGAAAAATACGCCAGTATATTATGCTGGAGTTCCAGCATAAGTATACTTGAACTCCAGCATATTATACTGGAGTTCCAGGATAAGTATGCTGGAACTCCAGCATAATATGGAGTTCCAGCATAAGTACACTAGAACTCCAGCATAATATACTGGAGTTCCAGCAAAGTATACCGATCCAGTATAATATGCTGGAAGTTCATACACAAGTGCTCGAATCTCCAGTATATTATGCTGGAACTTTCCGAGTGTTGGAGTTCCAGCATATTATGCTGGAAGTTCATACACAGGTGCACCGAACTCCAGTATATTATGCTGGACCGGTCTCCGTTGCAGCAAAATAGTGGCTATTTTTTATTGAGTTGGTAAACGCTGACTATTTTTGAATGATCCGTCCGAAAACTGACTAGACCGTGCTATTTTTACTAAATAATTTGTAAGGCATAGAGACATTTTCGTAGGCTTTTTCTTCACGGAAATATATGAGGTTAGTAATCATGAGTCCCATTGTCATCATTACCATACTTGAAAATATTAGCCTCTCTCTTTAATTTCTTTCTATCTTTTTTCCCCCTCATATGTTACTTTGAATTGTATAATTATCTTATTTAAATAGTTAAAGAGATTATACGTTTATTTACTATTTAATTATATAATCTACAGCACGTTTTGTTGTATGTGAGTCAAGAAAATTTTGTGGATCAAGTACGTGAAGATTCTTTTTAACAATAAGGAATGGTAAGACCTGAACTTGTTTAATTGAGGATGCAGCGATTTGAAAGGGATCACTCTCGTTGTTGCGACCAGATCCGCTTCCCCCGGCCTCATCGAAACCGACCTCGCCCCTCGAGGTGTTGTTGTCGACTCTCTGCATTGTTTGATTTGCAGGAGCACCGGGAAGAACTGAACCTCGTCTATTGGCGTTGTAGGAAGCATCCGACGACGCCTGCTTTAGCTCCATCATGACCTTATCCTATCATGTGAGGTAGCCTATAATGGCCTCCTGTCGCTCCTTCAAGACCCTTACTGCTTCGACGACATGCTCTTCTTCAGCATCATCAGGAGTCGCCTCCCGAACATGTTGCGTATATCGGCCGCCGTGGACCTACGTGGCCTCGTTCCCCTCGTTGCACGTATCGTTGATAGAATCTTCGTGCTGAGGTTGATTTCCTTGGGCCTCAATGTTGTGTGTGTTGTTAACAACATTATCTGCCATTTTTAATGATTTTTGCTAAGGACAAAGAATCAAACAAGTTAGTAATAGATGCAGGGATCAATTCAATTACACAACTGTTTATGCCCCACGGTGGGTGCCAAACTATTTACCCGTAAAACGGTACAGTTGAATTTGTATGCTGTGAATTAATTTGATCATGAAGTAATAAATGAATTAGACAAAAAAATAAGACTTAGCCTTGAAATTAAAATGACTTTTTTTCTGGTTCAATAAAATCAATTTCAATACGGAACATAAACTATAGATGCGAAAAAAAGCTACAATTGTAGTAACAAATATTAAATTTAGAACTCGTAATTTTAAAAACACATAATATGTTCAGGCAATTAAAGTTCGAATCCATCAAATTTAAATTATGAGTCCGCCATTTTTATTTACTCTAATATTATGTTGAAACTGTATGATCATCTCATCTTTATATATAGCGCGACACATGAAATTAATGCTTATGTACACTAAATAACAAGAAGGTCCACCTATTTATAGGATCTCATTGCCTTCACATTTCTCTCAAATCTTCATTTCATTTCATCATTCCAAACTTCTTGTTTTTACTCTTCTCTCAAGTGATTAAAACAAGAAGAAGAAAAAAGGAGAAGTATATATAAGAAAACCAGAGAGAGAGAGAGAAATGTGTATCAGTTCTTCAGAATGGAATGCATCACGTATCCTTTACATTTCTGGCCAGAAACAAAAACCAAAGCGCTCCAGAATCCAAGTTCATAGGTAACTTTACACAGTTTATACTATTACTTTCTTTTGAGCAGTGGTGGAAGCAGAATTTTTATCAAGCGGATTCAAATTAATTAAAAAAGTAAACACGTGAAGAAGTTAAGTGGATTCAACATCTAATATATTTACATGAAAAAAATTTGACCTTATATACACAGTGTAATTTTCGGCGAAGAGGATTCGGCTGAACCCCCTTCCGCCCCTGCTTCTGAGGTGTGACTTTCTTGTTGCTTTCTGTATGCGTATAACTTATAGAGACACTAACAACGTAAAGAAATTTTACACTATCATTGTAATTTAATAATTTACCGTGTTTGGCAAGTTATCAGTCCATGCTTGCTATAAAAGTTGGGATCTAAGTTATATTTACTGACAGTGTAAAGTTTTTTTTATACTATCAAATACTACTTATAATGCAGATTATGTTGCGCAGACTCTCCAAAATGTTGCTGCACCAGCGTTAAATTCTCTAAAAATACACTATATCTGGAGGATCTGACACGCACCGACGATATTTTCGGAGAGTCCGAGCAACATAGATATAGCAAGTTAGCTGGCTACAGTTTTACTATATTACCAATTAATGATTATTATAGAGATTCATCTATAATTACTTTATAAGCCACCAGTTTGTTTTAATATTATTTTTGTACCATCAGTACATAAAATTAAAACTCTAAAAGTTATCTAAGTAACTCAGATTGTAGGGTAGGTTGTTTACATCATATTTCTTGGGGTACGGCTCTTTTCCGGACCTTACGTGAACACGAAATACTTTGTGCAGTGAGTTGTCGGCCCTTTATTAGTTAAACTCTGCATGTATTACATGACCAAAGTATTTTGGCTTTTTAGGAGGAAGAAAAGTGAGGAAAAGGCAGCTTGGAAGGATATGGAATTGAGAAACCTGAAGCTGTACATGGAGAACATGAGCATATTAGAAGAAAATGAGAAATTAAAGAAGAAAGCCAATCTCCTTCACCAAGAAAACCTTGCTTTAATGTCTGAATTTCAGAAGAAATTTTCTCAATTGGATCGAGTTTCCACCACCCTTAATCTGCTTCTTCTTCATAAACAACCATGTCAATGAAGAATCAGTGGCGGAGCTAGAACATTAGCTACTGGTTAATACGAATCAATAGCTTTTGCTTAGACTCTGTAACTAAGACGAGCTATGAGTTTAACATCAAGTTTAGAATTCATAAACTTCAGTTCTTGGCTCCGCCTCTATAATTATATGAAGAAAACCCTTGCTTCATTTATTGCAGCTTTTCTAGCTTATGGCTTTGTCTCTCTGTCTCTCTTTCAAAAGTTCTGCTAATAACAGCGGGGTATTATTACTTTTAGCCCGCCAGAAATTATTTGTATTCAGTAGCTGAAAAAATGCAAATTTGTATAACTTTTATGTACAACACATAGAATGTATGTATATAAAAAAAAATATACATTTTTCGGCTATTATATATTTTGAGAGCGGATTATACAATATCATTTTTCCAATAATAATTGTTATATTATTAATGAGAAAAAGTGGATGGTGAAATAATATTTACCATGTGTCTACTATATGTCCCAATCAAACTATATATGCTGCCAGGGGCAGATCTAGTTAGCCCTCTACTTACGGGTTCGGCCGAACCCAATTGCTTTTGGGCAAACTCTATATTTGTCTTGTGAAATTCATGGAATATGTACAAATTATTATTTTAGAACGCAGTAACTTAAAAGAACTAGAATCCCGAATCCAAAAGCTTCAAATCCTGGCTCCGCCTCTGTATGCTGCTTATGATCTTTGTAAACCACTTTGTTTATAGAGAGTTTAATACAGTGTAAAAGATATTTTACACATCAGATTGTTACTTAAAAGATAACAACAAGTAATTCCACGTAATAAATTGAACTGCTTACTTGGAAAATAAGGCAGGTGTCCTGTTATAATATATGGTTAAATGTCAGCCACTACTACCTGAAAATTCATGCACGAAACGTAAGTCATATCTCCATGACAGAAAAAATATTGTGTTATACCAAAGATTTTAAGCCTAAATGCATGTTAACGGCGGCCTATAAGGGAATGAGAACCAGTTCTCATATCACCATTTTTGCTTTCGTTATTAGTCCCTTCGGTCCTCTTTTTATCTTATTGTTGTTTATACTTGTTGCCATTGCTTCTTTTTATTTTTTCTTTAGCCGAGGGTCTTCCGGAAACAGCCTCTCTATCTTCTAGGGTAGGGGTAAGGCTACGTACATGGAACCCTCCTTAGACCACACCTGTGGGAATTCACTGGGTTTGTTGTTGTTGCTGTTGTATAGGGCTTAAGAACAACAACATACCCCGTGTAATCCCACATTGTGAGGTCCAGGGAGGGTAAAGTGTACGAAGTCCTTACCCCTACCTTAGGAGGAGGAGGGAGAAGGGTGGGGGGAGAGGTTGTTCCCGAAGACCCTCGACTCAAGAAAAACTATATAGGGCTAAACATATTTTGTAAAGATTATTCACAAGAGAATATGAAGAGGCTTATATCTAAACCAGGCTGCGTATTAGGATAGTCAAACTGTCATATTATATACTCGGCTGAATGTCACTGCAATCATTATTCCAATTGAAGTTCATAATTTTCATTCTAGGAAAAGAATTACATCTACTTACCTCAAGAGACTCCGAATTATAAAAGAAATGCCAAGTGCAGGCGCAGAGTGCTCCTCCAAGCAGGGGCACCTAAATTAAAAAGTCGTAATGAAGTCACTTATGAGCCAACAAGACCCAAGGATGGGGAAAAAAGAAATGGAGATACGTGCAAAATGATAGAAGAGAATCATAAAGTGATAATTCAACACGACCAATTATGAAAAAAACCTCAATTACGAGCCAACAAGACGCACAAATGGGGAAAAAGTAATGGAGATAAGTGCTAAATGATCGAAGAGAATCATAAAGGGATAATTCAACATGACAAATAAACAAAAAATATCATTTACGAGCCAACGACTGAGCAAAAAACAAAGGAACCAGATACAAAGATGGGAGGGAAGGAATATAGGAGCTAGACGATCGAAGAGATACATGAAGTCATAACTCAGAATGACCAATCAAATAAAACACCAGTTTGTTATGAAAAGAATATATTCTCGCAACCTGAAAAACTCTCTTTGTGAATGACTTCTAAATTTAGAATGAAATTCAATAATCAGAATCAACAAAATTTAGACTTCTGAACTATCTTAGCCGTGAGATGGGAAAGGTAAGAAAGTGAAAAAGGAAACCTGAAGAGCAAGAGGTTCTAAACTCCAAAGATGGCCACCAACTATATAACAGTAGCACTGTGATGGGAGCGTAACCTCAACAACCTGTGTCACATGTACATGTTTTCTGCTGCTGCTCTGGCGCTCTCTATGAAGCATTTCACAGTTGGACAGCAATGTCATTTAGGTAGGTTAAAAGCCACAAGATCAAATTTTGTATCTTGGTTGATGATACCTGTTTGGAACTGAGGCGTGGTTGTTATTGTTGCTTTTGGCTGATGATGATATTGAAAAAAAGACTTCATAAACAATTTCTCCCTCAAAGAGTCAGCCATGAATCAATAAAAGATACAACTATCCTCCACAAAGTTTGGGATTGGTAGAATTTAGGAAATGGATTGGTGGAAGATAATCGGAATCATCAAAGACTGATAAATTGACTGCAATAAGGGGCGACAGTGAATATACTCATTTCGGTTTCTTATTGATTCTGTTTATTACTCTTTTGGTAATAAAATGTTAATCGGCTAATTAAGTAAGCTCGGCGACAATCCACAAAGAGAGAATTAAAAGACAAGAAGTTTAAAGGCCTAAACCATCTTAGCATGGTCATTACTATAACAAGAGAAAAGAGACGAATAAAGACATTTAGACTATTGTCTGATTAAACATATGAGAACACACTTTATAATTAACATGAAAGACTGTTCTGTACATCCAGAAGAACACAGTTTAAGCATAACAATCATTTCTACTGGACCAGATATAGGCCCTGATCAGATGTTCCGCGACTCTTATATTACAGTGAATGAGTGTACCATGTCGCAAAGCTTGGCATGTAGTTCTGCTTTGACTCGCTCGACAGAGTTTACAAAGGAATACACCCAACTTACTTTTTTCAAGTTCTATATAGCACATAGCATGGAAAATTCTTGTCTTTTGAGCAACAAAAAAAATTCAAAGATTGTTCTTTCTGGAATATTTGAGTTCAACTGCCTATTTACGACGCCAAGTCTACTAAACTGTCATCTCATGTAACAACAGTTCAAACAAACATTTAGAAGTGCCAATATAGCATTCGTCATTAACCAAACTGAAATTTTCCACGCATTGAGATAAGTCATTTTCAAAAAGTATTTACAGTTAATGTGAAGCTCGTTGACATAAAGCAGATTCAATATTGCAGGCATAAAGAACAGAACTCGAGCAAATTAAAAAAACAAGAATGAGCAAGATTGCTTACCATAGCCCAGGAGAGTCCCTTCCAAGATTCATAACCTGACTTCTCACCGTATTGCCAAACCAGAGCCATAGCAGTTACCCTTTTGTACAAAGTAAATAATCAGCCATTTCATTTAGCACAAAAGAAAAAAGAACAATATGAACAGATCAACCCGCCAACCCCATACTGCGGCGAAGTGCATTGCACATTGTAATACTCCTCCTTTCCCAATTACCGCAATTTTCAAGAATTCAAATTCATTATATTATTCAAATTTATATATGATGTAATATTTTAAAAGGGAACCCCGGTGCACGAAGCATCCTGCGTTTACGCAGGTCCAGGAAAGAGCCGCACCTCAAGGGGGTGTGATGTAGGCAGCCTACCCCAATGCAAGCATCAGTGGCTGATTCCATGGCTCGAACGCGTAACCTATAGATCACACGGAGACCTATTTGATGTAATATTTTACTATCTAGTAAACTAATCCTTAAACTATTACTTATTATTTTCTTTCACTAGCACTAATATGAAAAGGGTAGAAATTATCCCTCTTTTATACAAATATATCAATTCTACCCTCCGTTATACTTTGAGATCATTCATACCTCATTAGAAAACTATCTTGTACTTGCCCTTGACCCTAACAACGCTAAGTGTAACGGAGAATAATTATAAACAACAGTCGGAAGTAAAAGAGTAAATTTAAACACTTTTCCCCAAGTATTTTCAGACACTAAATTCACTAACCCATGTGGGAGCTTCTTTAAAGTCAAGGGCAAACATGAGGCGATTTACTAATGTCAAGAGTATGACGACCCCAAAGTATAATGGAGGTTAAAATTAAGATATTTCAAATAGTAGACGAGTAAATTTGGACATTTTACCTATAATATTAATCAGGGGCGAATCCATAGCATATGTTACAGTGTATTCTGAACCTAGTAGCTTTAGCTCAAACCTTGTACATGCGTTTAAATACTTACTAAAAGGGCATAGTCCGGTGCATTAAGCTATGCAGCCTTACCCTGCAATTTTGCAAGAGGCTAGTTCCACGACTCGAACCTGACATGATAGCAACTTTACCAGTTACATCAAGGCTCCCCTTCCGTTTAAATACTTACTAAATTAGTAAAAATAATAGATTTCGGACCAATAAATCAAATGGGCGGTGATAGAATCACGAACGCATAAAGTTCAAATCTTGATCCGCCTCTAATAAAAGAGTTGTCCAGTGCACTAAGCTCCCCCTATGCGCGGGGTCCGGGAAAGGGCCGGACCACTAGGTTCTATTGTACGCAGTCTTTCCCTATATTTCTCTAAGAGGTTGTTTCCATGGCTCGAACCCATGACTTCCTGGTCACATGGCAGCAACTTTACCAGTTACGCCAAGGCTCCCTTCAAATCCGCCTCTAATAATATATGGATCAAATTAAAATAATATACTCTTACTCAAAAAAATATAATCACATAAAATGATAACAAAAAGAAATTACCATTCAACAACACTAGAAACATGACTAGCCCAAGTGTGTAATGAGAGAGCATTTGAGGGTTCATTAAATTGGAATGAAGAACCCATTAAAGCTAACTCAGAACCAGAGGCAGGTCCCACATTTAGCACTGTAAAAGCAAGTCCAGTGACACCCAAAACAATGGCAGCATTATATTTTAAGTTCTGAGATGGAATAGTGATAATGGGTGCTGGAAATTGGGATCTTTTTCTTGAAAAGAAGAGAAAGTTTGGAGCTTTAGTTGATAAGGTGAATTGGGTTTGTTTTTGTTTAGGAAGAATGTGTTTTGAGAGAGATAATGAGGTTGCAACTGCCATCGTTGTTTGTTTGAGGAATACTAACAGCTTGTTTGGATGGTTGTTAACCATTGTATCATATTGTATTGTTTTTCCATAACAATGTTTGTTTTGATTGTTTAGTTAAAATTGGTTGTAAAAATCTCATTTTTTGAAACAATCGATTTGATGTGGTGGGATTATTTCCTATTTTACATTCTACTTATGCCCTAACTTATTACTTTATAATTCTATTTTACGCTTTACCTTTTTTTATTTTAAACAATAGCAAAGTCATATAATTCTATAATAGAATTCTACGTGAAGTCTAATAACCTATATAAATTCTCAAAGACAGCATCCCAAATATAACCTATATACGTGAAAGTCTAATAACCTATATACGTGAAAATTCCAACTCTTTTGGTATATGTTTTCCCTTACTTTTGTTTCATTCTTTCTTCTACTTTGATTTGTAATTCCAATTCTAATTACTTTATCTCCAATTAACTTTGTGATATTGGTTGTTTTCAAGTGTGCAAAGTATTATTATTTATCTTTATTCTGCCAACTCTTTCATTCGTTTCTTTATCATCGTTGCTAAATTTTTATCCTTAAGTTATGGATTATATGTCATGTTTGTTAGGAAATATTACTTATGATCTAAATTTTGCATGGAGTCTACTTAACATTTTTTTTATTATTATGAGCTAATTATGAATATAGTGTACTTTAATTATTTTTAATATTGTTAACTTGTTCCACTTATTTCGATAGAATCTGTATGAATTTAATTGCTTTATATAGAAGACATAATTGGTGATAAATATAGAAAGGGGTTTCTTAAATAATTTTATGCGTAATTTTTGATAAATTAAATATTTAAAACAATTGAGGGTATTTTAGTAAACTTATCAGTTACAGTATAGTACGATACGGTCAAACCAAACAGCAAAATGTTATATCCAAACAGCATACAATACAATCTATCCAAATATTGTATTCACAAAACGATACGATACAATACGATACAGTACAATACGATACATTATAAAACGGTGGGTAACAATGATCCAAACAAATGGTAAGTGGGGTGTTGGATTTTGAGTAAAAGATGTTTTAGATAAGAGATAAAATGACAAAAAGATCCTTTATGACTTATGAGTAAGCATTTTTAAAATTAAATAATTCAAATTGATGAGTAGTCGACTGAAAATTAAAAATAAAAAAAACATAAATACAGTTTGCAGTAGTAGAATATTTTAGAACAATTAACTGGATTAGCAGCCCATTTAGGATATAAATTTTACATAGGATTACCGGTTTAAATTTGGAAGAAATTCAAAAATAGCAAGATTTACAAGTGGTCATTCAAAAATAGTCACAGTTTCAAAAGTAATGGACATTTAGCCACTTTTCATGTAAAGATAAATCTGAACGAAAACACCGTTCAAAATCCGGAAAATACTTCAGCATAATATACTGAAGTTCCAGAATAATATACCGGTCCAGTATAATATGCTGGAAGTCCATACACAGGTGCTCCAATCTCCAGTATATTATGCTGGAACTTTCCGCGTGTTGGAGTTCCAGCATAATATGCTGGAAGTTCATACACAGGTGCACCGATCTCCAGTATATTATGCTGGACCGGTCCCTGTTCCAGCAAAATAGTGGCTAATTTTTAATGACTTTGCAAACGCTGGCTATTTTTGAATGACCAGTCTGAAAACTGGCTAGCCCGTGCTATTTTACCCAATTCCTTTATCCATCTATTAAGTTATTGTCTGACTAGTTTTAACGTACATTTGTTGCACATGTATGTACCTTTTTGCGATAAGTAATAGTATTTTTTTTTAAAATCACATAAATATTATGTTAAAAATTATGTTTGAGTTATAAAGTACTTCCTTCATTCCAATTTATGTGAACCTGTTTGACTGGGCACGAAGTTTAAAAAAAATGAAGACTTTTGGAATTTGTGGTCCTAAACAAGTCAAAAAGAGGCCTAGAGTATTTGTGTGATTATAAAAGCTTCTCATTAAGGGCATAATTGTAAGTTCAAGCTATTCCAAAATTAGAAAGGGATCATTCTTTTTAGAACAGACCAAAAAGAAAATAAGTTCATATAAACTGGAACAGAGGAAGTAAGAGTTTAAGCACCAGACAATATGATTAGTCTAGTTAACCAAACAAAACTAGAGGAGATCGTGTCATACAATTCATGCGTAAGAGGAATTTACTAGTTTTAACATACGCGTGTTGCATGTATACCATTTTCCATAAGTAATTTTCTTTTAAAATCACATACGTAAATTAAAAAATATATTTGAGTTATAAAATAAGAGTTTAAGCGCTAGACAGTCCGATTAACCAGACAAAACAAGAAGACATTGTGTTGTGTCATACAAGAAAGGAAAGATCTGGAAATACCCAAATGACTCTATTACCTACAAAACTAAGAAGGAAAAAGGAAAAGGGACTTCTACGCGTTAGATTGTTCGTGTATACGGGGGAAAAATCCTATTTAAAATGGATGGTGTGAATTTGTCAAATGCTCGACAAGCCACTATATTAAGGGACAGTAAAATGACAAAGATGTCACAATCTGAATCAACAACAACAACAACAAACCCAGTATAATCTCACAAGTAGAGTTTGGGGAGCGTAGTGTGTAAGCAGATTACCCCTGTCTGAATCACAATACCACAAATTTGAAGCTTAAAACTTTATAATACAGAGCATTTGTCCAAAAAGCAATACAAGGCAATTGAGATCTTCAACAAAGAGCCTTTTGGGTAGCACATTTCTTGAAAAATTACATGGAATGATGAGGAGAAAGAACACATTCCACATAAATTTTGGGGGAAAATGCATAAGTACACCCCCCCCCCCCCCCGACCTATATCCAGATACCCAACTACACACTTTTTCTTTGCGGGAATTCTATTACCCCCCTAAACTTATTTTAAATGTAATTATTTGCACCCTAAACGCTGACAACTAAACTCTTGGCAAGTGGTGAGCTACGCGCCCCCACATGTATTTTTAGTACCTTTTTTATTCTTTCTTCTTTTTCTTATCCTTTTTTCTTATTTCTTATTATTCTCATTTTTTTGGTTATTTCATTCTCTTTCTTTTTGTTTTGGTCACCGGCGGCATAAAATGGTGGTCGTCGGAATTTCACAAACACAATTTTTTCCGGCTAATTTTTTTTTCCGGCGACAGATTTTTATCCCGATCTAAGTGTATTTTGTTTTATATATATAAAAAATTTTCTTGAAAGTATAATTTATGTGGGAGGAAGAGCAAAGGAAATAAAAATAAATATAAGTTGAGAAAACCTTTTCTAGTTAAAATTGCAATACATCTTTTTCCGGCATGGGAAGATTTTCCGATGACGAATTTTTTTCCCCAAATCTGAATGTATTTTGCTTTGCTTATGAATAGATCTTTTTGAGAGTTTACTTTGTGTGTGAAAGAAAAAAATGGAAGAAAAACGGTTAGATAAAGTCGCCAGTGAATGAATATCCGCCGGAACTAGAGAAGAAACGAAAAAAAAAAGGTAAAAGAAAAAGGAAAAGGAAAAGGAAAACAAAAGTAAGAAAAAATGATAAAAAAGAATAAAAAATAATCTGAAAATCGTTTTTTCTTGCTTCTCACTCTCTTTTGGGAGAGTGAAATACACACACTCTGCCACGTCAGCGTTAAGGGTGCAAATAATTCCATTTAAAATAAATTTAGGGGGCAATAAGATTCTCGGAAAGAAAAAGTGTGTAGTTGGGAATCAGGGTATAGGTCAGGGGGTACTTATGCATTTTCCCAAATTTTGGTGATATGATACCATCTTTTAATTGTAAGGTTCTTGACACTACAAGAACTTCCACGACGGAGATTTTTTCAAGATCTCCTCTTTTTTCTGATAACCCAGAAATCCTCTAAGGTCAGCTGGTGCACGGTTCGAACTTGGTAGATAATCTGTTTAAGATCACTTTTAGAAGTATAATATCTTATAGGGATTTTTTCTTATCTATACCATATATGAAACTTTATTATCAAAAATGTGCATAATTACTAAATTACCCGTCCAGTCCACATTATTTCTACAGTTTTTGTACCAATCATTAAAAGCTAATTAATAGCAGTTGTATCTTCCTATTTATGCGAGCTAAATTTTAGGAGAAGAATATTCTGAACAGATTTGGCGTGAATATTCTGAACAGATTTAGGAGAAGAATATTGAAACGAAAAGGAGATTTCTGTTCTTCATCTTCATCTTCATCTGTTCTTTCATATATTTCCCACCATTGATAGCCATTAAAAAGCTTGAAAGCTTTGAACTCAAATTTGGGTTTTCAAAAATCATTATTTGTTTGGATTGGGTGTTGTTGTAAATAATTCGGAATATGTTTAGGAGTTTATATTTCAATTTTGAGGGGTTTTGGTGAAGATTAGACTTGGTTTTGACTGAATTTCAGATTGAAACTCAAAGAAGAAGAAGAAGAAGAAGACATATTTTCAAAAATTGTAGTTAAATTGTAGATTGTAGATAAATTGTAGATTGGGAAGACTAAAACTTCTACAAATCTTCTACAATTATGTCAAAAATGTCAATTATGCTACAATTGAAATGGGAATTGGGATATTAAAATTCAATGTATCCATTTTGTAGATATCTTGTAGATAAATTGTAATTATTTGTATTCTGATTGTAGATGCATTATTTTCTGTTTTCACAAATCCAAAACGACTAAAGCTTCTACAAAATCTTCTGCAAAAAACAGTCTACAATTTATCTATAATTTTTTTAATTTTTCTACAATTTATCTACAATTTCTGGAAATATGTCTTCTTCTTCGAGTTTCAATCGACTGTGTTAACCAGTAACCTTCATCCACTGCCCAAAAAAAAATCAAAAAAAAAAGAGGTCAATGAAAATAACGATACATTGATGTTTTGTATGTGTAAATAGAGAATTGGTAAATAAGAATTAATCTGAAGATACGGTCGCTAAGTTAAGGTTTTTGGGGAAGTAAATGAGAACTAATCTGAAGATT